AACGACGTGCGAGTCGCAAGAGGGTTTGTCAGAGATCACGAAGAGTTTGGGTGTTGTTTGGCCTGCACTTGTGTTGTAGGTTTATACAGTATCACGCACAGAACCTTTGAAGTTGGCGCAAATTTACTGAACCTAGTCACCATTTGACTGAGACGGCGGATGACCTCCGAGCTGTGGCAGTCCTAATGTAACGTGAACATCGGAATGGGACATTATGGGCTCTGAAACTGGTTACGGAAGCACACTCAACGCAAACTGCGGTGGGGAACGACGTGCGAGTCGCAAGAGGGTTTGTCAGAGATCACGAAGAGTTTGGGTGTTGTTGGCCTGGCCTGCACTCTAGGATGGGTCCCGTTAACCCCATTCTGTGCGTGGATGGAGACTTCAGGGAATGGCATCCGTGCTGTCAGTTTCCTTACAGGTTAGTTGTGGATGTTGTCTACATGAACGTTTTGTATATCTCCCGTAGGCTGACAGCTAAATCGTCTTGACGTGAGAACATTCTCTCCAGTACTCAAGGGTCTAGCGAACGTCCTCACTGGGCCATTCGCGAAACTGGGTAACTCTAGAGAGAGATGACTCCCGATCGAACCGTCAGCCCAGTGTTCAAACCTAACAGCATATAATTTCCGGGGTTTTACCGGCCGGCAGGCTCAACCACTAGGGGGTGTCGGATAAGGATGTCTACTGTTTCCGTTCTTATCCAATTTTATGACTGGCCAGGTGGTGAGAAAGCTGTATTCAAAACCCTGATATCCAGATGGCCATCAACAAACCAGCCCACATTATCTATGGCTTGATACGTGCGTTCCTTCCACGTTTCAAATTAGTATACGCGACCCGGGCTTTTCAGATTCGTGCATTGACCTCATCTGTCACACCGCAACTTCCAAGATAAGTAAAACGCTTCACAATTTACAGTACTTCTCCCTGGATTCACAGTGGCCTGTTCAGTGACTGCATGTTCAGGCGCAAGGTGCATACCAAAGGACGGGATGACATTAATCAGTTCGTCCAAAAACACTTGCGTCTTCTCTTCGAAGATGAGGACGATGTCTGCATATCGGCAAGCTTTTCGTCACAGGCTATTTGAACACCGGGGTTTTGCAGACCTCTCATCGTTCGTCTCATGATTTCATTGATCAGGAAGTTAAAGAGGAGTGGAGAGAGTGGGCATCCCTGACGGACACCGCTTTGTGTACAGAGGCTTTTGGAGAGCTCGCATTATACTCTCACACGTCCGGAAGTCTGGCAATACAAAGATCTTATTATATTCACGAACCTCCGGGGCAATCGTGTCAAGCGGAACGGATTGGTCAGCCGAGTCGAATACTGATATAAAGATAATAATCATTCAGCTGCAACACCCTTTCGGTGCCTAGCTGCCATGCCACCAGAAGGGAGAATGTGCGCTGGGATACTGCCAGGTTGCCCCAGCCTAGACAGGAGAAGTCGAGAAGCGCCTTGGAAATCCAGGAACACAAGAGATATGGACCGCTTATACGTATGGTGCTGTTCTAAGATCCACGGAGTGCGAGGTTTTGATCAACGCGATCCATATCAGATTGGAATCCTGCTTGCTGCTCCCAATTCAGTGTCCCACGAACCACCGTAAGGCGGCGAAGCACAACTGACGCTAAAAATCCCGTTAGAGCGGTGAGACGTTTAGGATGTGTCCGAGAACGAGTTAGAACAGAGTCCGGGTTTCCGAGGATAAGCAACGTTTTACTTGTCTGAGTACAAGCGTGGATGAGCTGAAATGTACACACAAAGGCTCAATACGAGTACATATGGTAAGTATAATAATGATCACACAAAAATCATGATAACCCAGTCGAAATCCCGCTTGATTCTCACGAGTCAAGGCTTCGCGTGCCACCGTAAGATGATGAAGAATCAGTGACGCCAGAGACCTTGTCACAAAAGGCATCAAACTAAAACACTGCGAGTGCCCTTTTTGAAAATGGGCACCACTATCGATCCACCCCAGTTGTGGGATGGTCTCATTCTCCAATAGAGATCCAAACAGGCTAGACAGGCACTGGCTGAGGAGCCGACCGCCACCATTGAAAAGAGTAGGTAGAAGATCGTCAGGACCAGCTGCTTGATGACGCTTGAGTAGAGAAATACACTCGGACACTTTTGAGACTGAAGGTGGCTCTATATTCATGGTACAGGATTCTGGATTTGAGGTAGCAGGTGGCCAGCTGAATTGCTGTTTGAAGTACTGTGCCCAGCGGTCCAAATGTTCTGCTTTGCTGCATATGGAGTCATTTTGCTTCCTGTTTATTTCGATGATGAGAGGTTTCCGGGGACCAGTGGAATGAATCAACCAGAACAGCTTGCGGACGTTTCCAGCATTCTTTACATCTTTCATTTCTTCGGCCTTTCGGGTCCACCAAGCTTCTCGGTCTGCACAAATACTTAGTTTCTCCTGGCGTCGGATGAAGTATCGAGTGGAGTTGTGTTTACGGCCAGGAGGGATCTGTCGCCGGGTCTCCTGCAAAGACACGGTCCTATCAGAGATTCAGTGCTTGGACGAGGTTGGCTGGGTTGTACCGCAAGCAGACATTCTGGCTTAGAGTAAGGTTTTGGATATTTTTTCCCAGTGGCAGTTTCTATCCGACACCGTACTGTCCGACAGGCTCTCGAGGAGCTGGCTCTGATAACTTTATTTGACTTCTGGATCCACTAGCTTCTTAACGGCTACCCGGGGTGTGCGCGTTTTGCGTACACCTAAAAAGCACAATGAAAAGCAGCAGCGTACAAGTGTATGGTCGGTGTCCACGCTGGTGTTCCAGAAGGAGCGGCAGGCGGTGATCGACCCTCGCCACCGATAACTGACGGCAATGCGGTTTATTTGGATTCGGTGCTGGTTTGTTGGTGGGCACCACGTTTTCAAGCGATTTCCGCTGTTTCGGAAATCGGTACTGCAAAGGAACAGTCCATGGTAGGCAAACATCTGAAGTAAGCGGTCTCCATCGTCCGTGCTTCTCGTGTCCAAACCAGGACGAACACCTAATCGGGCCTCAGCAGCGCTTAGTCTACCTCCCTGGGCGTTCATATCGTTCATAGCGATACCTGAGCCTTTAGGCCTCTATAGACGGACACCTAGAGCGTCATAGAAACTGTCCTTGGCAGATTCAGAGCTACAGTCAGTTGGGGCGTAAGCGGACACAATAAACAAGGCGCGATGAACCTCACTTCCTGCAGGTTTTCTCACATATGTTGCCAAACGAACCGCACAGAGGTGACTATCAAGGAGTATCCAACCAAGCGGAGACGCTTCCGCTCAGTCGCTCAGCACAACACCAACCGCGGCATATCCAGCTGCAGTGGCCTCTGCACCACCAAAGTTGCGAAGCCGGAACCTGGAAGAGAGCTAAGGGGGCAGTCAGTTCGATCACAGTACTTGCTTTCTGCGTCCTTGTTTCCGACAGGCAACAGACACCAATGCTGAGGAAATCCAGCGTACGAGCAAGAGCCACCTGTTGACCTGCTTGCTTCAGTGTGTGAACTTTGAAGGTGGCTAGGTAGACAGGTCTTCGAGGTTTGAAGACAGACGTCGAAGTGTTTAGGGTTGTAACTGAATCAAACGTACAACAAGGCGCGATGAACCTCACTTCCTGCAGGTTTTCTCACATATGTTGCCAAACGAACCGCACAGAGGTGACTATCAAGGAGTATCCAACCAAGCGGAGACGCTTCCGCTCAGTCGCTCAGCACAACACCAACCGCGGCATATCCAGCTGCAGTGGCCTCTGCACCACCAAAGTTGCGAAGCCGGAACCTGGAAGAGAGCTAAGGGGGCAGTCAGTTCGATCACAGTACTTGCTTTCTGCGTCCTTGTTTCCGACAGGCAACAGACACCAATGCTGAGGAAATCCAGCGTACGAGCAAGAGCCACCTGTTGACCTGCTTGCTTCAGTGTGTGAACTTTGAAGGTGGCTAGGTAGACAGGTCTTCGAGGTTTGAAGACAGACGTCGAAGTGTTTAGGGTTGTAACTGAACTCAAACGTACACAAGCTGCATCTAATTATGATGCAGGGCGAGAAAAACAATCAGTCCTTGTGCTGGGACCTGCGGAAAAAGTATTCAAATTGGGGTGGAGGAGGGTTGAAGAGGGAAAACGTGAAAGTGTAAGAAGGAAGGCGTCAGCAGTAGTATGTGTTCGCTTACCGGCTCTGCTATATGTAGCAAGTAAGGCAACCCGGCTGATGGCACCACGCGACGGCTGATGTGGCATGAGATGATTGTTAGCTGTGAATGTCATGGTTGTACGAGGGCTGGAATACTGCCGGGGTGCCCAAGTCTAGACAGGAGCAATCAAGCTGCAGAGGCTGGGTTCGAATCACGGACCTTCCGGTCATTAAATTTGCGCTTCAACCACCGAGCGATACTGAGTTCTAGCACCTCTGTGCATGCAAAGGTCTATGGGGAATTTCCTCCAAAAGTGGTATCCGGTAGAGTTGCCCGTCTCGCCGCCTTAAACATCATAATGTAAACGATTGTTGGACAATCGCTTGAACTGTACACGCTTAGTTTGAACATTACATTAGTTCGTTTAGTTTGATCGGCCACTAACATCCAGCTGCGCTTTGGACCACCAAAGTGCGAATTTCCGCTTGAGGAATGTTGTTGCAGCCCTTGTGTTTGATTGTTTAAGTTGTACTAGAATGCGATGTGGCTCAATGGTTATAGCGCGAATTTGCTAACCGGAAGGTCCGTGGCCGAACCCGACCTCTGCCTCTCGACCTCCCCTATCTAGGCTTGGGTGGCTTGACAGTATCATATCCCCCATGCTTCCTTCTGATGACGTGGCAGCTGGGCACCGAAAGGGTTATTAGTGATGATAATTTCCCAACATTATGCCATTTACCATGACCACATAGCGATAGATTTTTAGGGACTAGTGGTTCTCAGGGGATGATTTGTGCCACTTTGAACAACCGTGCTCATCCTAGGTGGATGGGTCAGAGTTTAATGACGTACAGTTACCGATCGATTCTGACGATGTCTTTTTTTACGCAGCAGCTACTTGACTCCATTTCGCCCGTATAACGATTTGGAACCGCAATGGAACCATACGGCTGTTTCGCTGGTGGATCTCGTTTGTCGGACCATACCATGTACTATCCGAAACAGGATGCGCTGTCCACCCCAGGTTCGTACAACTGATTCGTTTAGGCATTCATCATGAGTGTAGTTTTCCCATGTATTCTCTTGACATTTCATCTACGTTGTTGCCCAGACAAGCTGCTTCGTTCGATTGGTGCTTTTTTGGATTTCCGCGCTTCTGTCGATGGATGAACTGTTTTCGGGTTTAATTGATATGTTTTAGGTTGCAGACAACCCTCAGACAACTCACTGCTAGTTCACGGCTCATGAGATTTACCTTTCCTGGTGGCTAACAGGTCATGTCCAAATTGGGGTGCAATTCAGTCGTGGGTATATTTCTGTGCTCGTATGCGTGTAGAATTGCCGGAGCTGGATTCCGCCTATTCTTTAGCACAATGTACGGTGCACAGACCGTCTCGAGATTTCGTTGGCAGGATATTCGATAAATTCTTTTAGCTTAATGTAGTATGGGAATTCATTACTGTGAGAGGCTCCAGTTACACCAACTATACTCGCATATAGACCCGAAAATGGTCCAACTGTTATGGACATTTCATAACGTTTTGGTATTTTGGAGTAGATGATGTCCACTGATCTGTCGTTTATGCATTGTCTACTTAATTAAACTGCAATTGGAGTTCCGTCGAACACAGCATTTTTACTTGAAAGCGAATGTCCCCTGATTCGGGTGGATCCAGTCCCCGAAACGAAACTGTTTTCAACAGGTGATCAGGTCTGTACAAGTCGTGACGCTTTAGTTCCAGTGGCGGATTTCGTTGACTAAGTTTTCTTACATCGCTTCTGACCATAGTAAGTCATATCCTCATTCGCTATTTGAGACAACAACATCTTTGAAACGAATCATCGATCAAGGCTTTCTTTACGTTTTCATCATCCTTGTTGGGCAGTAGATGTCCACTTTGCCTCATTGTAGATATTTTTGGAGGGGTTGGGACAGGTTCTTATGGAAACGCTTTCGGATCTCGCCGTCGGACACTGCTTGGCCAGCGCATTTTATTGTCCATATATTCATTCGCGTTGGCAACTGCCGTCTCTCCCCCACCCGCACTCCTGGGCAAGATAAACCAATGGTTATTGACTCTCCCAGTGGTAATCCTGCATCAGCCCTATCACATTCACTGCATGGCTTCCTCACACTCTACCATACCGGATAAACACAATCATCCAATGTCAACGAACTGACTCAGTCGTCACAACGAAACTGTACCACCATACTTCGGTACAGGGTGCGGAGATGGACGTTTAACTGACCGATTGGGACCATTTACCTTTTGGTGTATGCAGCCTAGCTACATGGTAGATGGGTGCGGTGATGTACTCGGACGATCGTGACAAACAGGTCGAATTCAATTAAATAGATCTCGATACCATATGTGCTCATTTCAACGTGCTGCACAGAAGGTGGATGTGTGGGCACTTAGTTACGGGTCAGCGGATTTACAGAGGAATATTCAATAAGACTTGCTGCAGCATCGTCCTTTTGATGTACGGGTAGTCCACGTCTTTCTGAAGAAGATTCAGATCTGCATCACTGCGAACAACCCTTCACTACTTGGTCCCATTTGCATATGCATCATTACCTTCATAGAGCCTGGACGGGCTGCCACCTCGACGATTCAGAACCTTTTGGTACACTAATCTTATTTCTTCATAAGACGTATGACGACGTATGTGGTACTGCCACTCTTATTTCTTTCACTTATCTGTTCAATACCTCGGTTGGTATTTAAATGCAGCAGTTTGTTCGATCTCTCCACCATATGCCTTGAGATCCCGCACAGGTACATCCATACGGATGAAGAAAGACTTGATGTTCGTAGTGTCAAATTTCCTTCCTGCAGATGCTAGAGCTAGACTACCGGTGAAGATTACTAGCCTGTTGCCCAATAAGACGATTGTTTCGGTGTTTACTGAACCCACCATCTAGATGTCGGACTCAGTTGGACATAAGGGTACCATCCCAACGGCAGTTCAAGCGACCGGTAGATCACGAAAGTGAGTATCGAGGTTCAGTTTTTTCAGATATCAGACCTCTGAATTGACGTTTGTGTTAACGCTTGCGTGAGGTATTTCCTCCTCATCATAACCACCGACAAAACTTCCGTTTGCTCCACGCAACAAATATTGAGGCTGTCCATTTACTGAAGCCATCCAGTCGGCTGAAATTTATCGCTGGTTCCTCGCTTCATGCGATGTCAGATCAGTATGAAGTACGATCTCTGCTGATGTACCGTGCGACCTGTCGCCACGGCATCCAGAAGTTGGTCGCTTCACTCGAAATGCTCTCGGATGAAAACATATTTCTTCAATCTTTGGGTTGTCGTCGTTTGTAGCTTAGCCGGTCCGCGGTAGATCGTTTTATTGGAGTTTTCAGCGCCGGCCCAAAAGAACTAGCTTTCCAAGTTGTTGAGCTGCTGGCGTCAAAGGTACGATGATTGGTGCTTATAGTTTGTGGGAGAAATTTTTGGTTTTCTGGGTAAAAGACTGTTAAAATGCTCACGTACTTCGGGGACCACTCTCTTCTTTTAGTGGGATGAGTGTTGAGCTGGGCAGACACGAACTTATGGTCTCTACCTCGTGCATTTTGTTCAAGGGTTGACTCTGGTGCTGTGTTCATTGAGTCTATGTAGTGGGAGTCGATGACTTAGTTAATCGATTATTGATCCGTTGAGTAGAATGAGAAGACTTCGCCTAAGGATAGGCTTTATTCAACATATAAGCACAGTATAGGCTGAAATGACAAGTGAAAGTGAATTAATGGAAATAGCAGTAAAGCGTAACTTTCACTACATTCACTCCGGCAGGCAAAATGTCAGTTGAACCTAACAGAAATGTGTTGTTGGTAACAGAAAATGAACGTAGTGTGGATGAACAATTGAAAATGGTTAAATTGATTTTTAGTATTTTGAGGGTCTGAATGGAACACTGAAATAACGTCTCGTCGTGGACGCAAGAAAGTTTGTAACACCTGATCTAGACTTCGCGGTTACGTAAATTGTAGGGACGAGTGCGTTGCTGTTGCATCAGAAGATTCTGAGCATTTTCTGATATGCTCGTTTTCGGTCTGTTTCGAATCTCTGGTAATATTCCAGCATTTCCTTCACTGTTGTTATCATCCGATAACATTTGAGACTCGAGCTGAACATTTTCTGATCCCCTATCGCCACCTGCGGGTGCGAGTTGACGGATGGAAACTGTTTGGTCCCTACCGTCTTTGAGCCGAATATGGGCATACTCAGGATTGCATTCTAGTAACGTCGCTTCTTCCACAATTGGGTCATATTTTGATGTGCGGTCAAACGACTTCACAAGGACAGGACCTGGTGATGTTAGCCAGCTAGGCAGAGATGGTCCGTACGATGATCGACGCTCGTGAACAAACATTCTCTCATGTGGCGTTGAATTAGTAGCCGTACAGAGTAACGACCGAATGGCATGCAGAGCATCGATGAGCATATGTTCCCAATGTCCAACGTCGAGATTACGAGATGTTAGACCGAGTGTGATAGCTTTCCAAAGCGTTCCGTTTAGCCGTTCCACTTGTCCGTTGCCCTGGGGGTTATAGGGAGTGGTTCTGCTGGTAGCTATATGCCTGCTATGCAGAAATTCTTTGAGTTCGACGGACATGAATGAAGGGCCTCGGTCCGAGTGAATATAGGCTGGCATACCGAATATTGAAAACAGTTGACATAAACAACTGATGAGTGTCGATGCTTTCATATCCGGACAAGCGAAAGCAAATGGGAATCGCGAATACTCATCTATGATCGTTAGCAGATATTTGTTACGAGTAACCGAAGGTAAAGGTCCTTTAAAGTCGATGTTCAGGCGTTCAAACGGCCGGGTAGCCTTTATTAGTTTTCCCTGTATATGACGATGAAACCGAGGTTTTATTTGCGCACATACCCTGCACTGTGCGCCAACGGCCCTAACTTCGTTCAACGAATATGGGAGATTTTTCGATCTGACAAAGTGAAACATTCTTCGGACTCCGGGGTGGCATAACGAGGTATGTATGGTCAGCAGTTCGGAAGAATTAGACACGGAGCTACAAAACTGGCGGGATAGTGCGTCGGCAGCTTGATTCTCTTTGCCCGGACGATAAACGACATCATAACTGAAGGGAGAAAGTTCGATGCGCCACCGTAGTACCTTATCATTTTTAACTTTACCTTTATGGTTAGTATCATACATAAAGGCAACAGATCGTTGATCCGTTATCAACTTGAAGTGATTACCAATGAGGTAATGTCGCCATTTTCGTATAGATTCAACTACTGCATACGCCTCCTTTTCAACAGCGGAATGGCGTTGCTCAGATGGAGACAGTGTTCTGGAGAAAAAGGCCACTGGTCTTCCGTTTTGATTTAGGGTGGCTGCGATTGCCACATCAGACGCATCTGTCTCGACTACCAACGGTTGTGTGTAGTCGATAGAAACAACCAGGGCGTTAGCCAGTTCCGATTTCAGTACGTGAAACGCCGTTTTCACCGATTCAGGTAGAGGAAATATTTGGTTGTGCACGAGTGGATAAATTTTATCAGAAAAATGTGATATCCAGTGCGAATAGTATGAAAACAACCCGATCGCTCGCTGTTGGGATTTTTGGTTACTGGGTAGCGGAAGATTGCGGAGTGGTTGCAATCTATCGGGGTCTGGTTTGATAGTACCTTTAGATACTTCATAACCTAACAACCGTACAGTTCTTGTACAGATTGTACTCTTTGCTTCATTGAAAATGAGTCCGAAACGCCGCGCCACTTCTTTGAACTTGGCTAAATTAGCATCATGTTCTTCCATAGACTTACCACATATAGTGACATTGTCTATATATGCAAAAGTGTCAGCCAGTTTCTCTTTGGCAATGATTTCATTAATTGTGCGTTGGAAACAAGCAACGCCGTTCGTCACACCGAAGGGTATCCGACAAAATTGGTACAAATTGCCATCAGCCTCGAAAGCAGTATATTTACGTTCGTCGGCGCGGATAGGAATTTGATGATAGGCACTGCGTAGGTCGAGTGTGCTGTATAATTCATAACAAGCGATCTTTTCTATCATTTCATCGATGCGTGGGAGTGGATACGCGTCCAGATACGTATAACGGTTAATTGTTTGACTATAATCAACCACCATTCGTTTCTTGTGACGCTCGTTGGTTGTGACCAAGACTTGAGCGCGCCATGGTGACGTTGATGGCTCTATAACTCCATCACGCAACAGGGTATTTATTTCCTTGCGAATAAAAAGTTGATCAGGAAAAGACTGACGTCTGGTTTTTGTCGCGACAGGTTTACACATTGGTGATAGATTCTGGAACAAAGTCGGTTCAGGAACCTTAGCAGCTGTCAAATTGCAAAGGGAAACAGGTGGTCGGGAACCGCCGAATGGTATTTCTAATCCCTCGTGCAGGTTGAGGAAGTCGTGACCGAGCAACACATCAGCACATAGATGCGGCAGAACGGATAGCCTGACATTTTTGTAATCGAAGTCTTTTAGCTGTAGGTGCACCAGACAATGTCCAAGGGTATCACTCACAAAAGATGTGTTAGCCATAGAGATTTTGCTTCTTGATTCAAGTACTCGCCAGCTATACTTATTGACGACTGATGCTGAGATATAACTCTCAGAACTACCAGTATCGACTAGGGCTTGGAGACGGACACCGTTAACATGAACATGGCTAATCGCTCGTTGTAGGCATACGGGAGCAGACGCAACAGTAAGCGCCGACAACAAAGATTGAGTAGTCGCCGTCTGTGGCTTGATTTTCTGTTTGGAACGACAAACTGACTGAAAGTGACCCTTTTTACCACACAGCTTGCATATGGCATCTCTGGCGGGACAGGCTGTTCGCGGATGTCGGCTATAGCCACAAAAGAAACATTTATTAGTTACCGCAGAAACCAGGATTGTATCTTCTGACTGGGCTGTATCTTGAATTAAGCCACTTTGTGGAGCAGCGTTGCAAGGGTTGGATGAGATGGGTACTTGATACGACAATGCCTGTTTGTATGCCGATTCTAATGCTTTAGATTTTTCTACGGTTTCACGTAGCGTCAACGTATGGTGCTCCAACAACCTCTGGCGGATTTGAGTAGACTGAATGCCCGATATAAATGCGTCCCTGATAGCTTCGTCACGACGTACATCGCCTATCACACTTTGATAATTACAATCAACAGCTAACGTCCGTAACTTTTGCACATACTGATCGAGTGTTTGCTCATTGTCTTGTTTGCATGTGTGAAGAACGTGTCGAGCGAAAATTTCGCTTTTGGTGGGGGCATAGATTGAACAAAGAGTATCGACAGCTTCTTTGAAAGTGGTGCACTCAGAAACGGATTTATAGACAGAAGGAGAAAGATAATTGATCAAAAGTTCCAGTTTGTCCGGATTATGCGTCTCAATACAAGATAAAAAATGGGAGAATGTACGATACCAGTGAGTCCATTGGTCGGTTGCATCAGGAGCGTATGGATCCGCGTCAAATCTGGCTGGTTGAGCAAAGCGTTCCATGGATGAGAAATAATATGTTGAATAAATTGTAGTGGGAGTCGATGACTTAGTTAATCGATTATTGATCCGTTGAGTAGAATGAGAAGACTTCGCCTAAGGATAGGCTTTATTCAACATATAAGCACAGTATAGGCTGAAATGACAAGTGAAAGTGAATTAATGGAAATAGCAGTAAAGCGTAACTTTCACTACAGTCTACTTAGGCTTTTGTGCCAGTGAACTGTTCGGAAGTCCCCCCACTAACAATCGGATCCGCTATGGCTTCCCTTTTGATTCTATTTTGTTACTGTTACATGAAGTCACTACACCAGTTGTGGTCCCAAGACGATTTTCAGTAGACCTGGAGGGCTACGTATACGTTCAGTTGTATGAATAATTTTCACAATGATAGCAAAGCTTGGCCACCGATATGAAGACCCGTGTCACTAAACAGTTCCGCACCGATGCCTCCGCAGTATAGCTGGGTGCGAAACAGAATGATGCTCGAATGAGTTCTTGTTAACGAAGGGATCGAAACTTACCAGATTAAGATGGTTGGGGCATGTACCATGTATATCCAGCTACTCTCTGCCGAGAACTTTTTTCACCCTTGATTCATGCAGACAAAAGGTTCGAGCAAGACAGGTCATCGTCGGCTACATGAAATGAAGGTGGCCTCAGCCAGGCTGGGTGTTCTGCACTTCCCTGGTCGGGGTACACGAGCTCCTACTTGCAAGGGGTTGGAAACCCTACGCGTAACCGACCAAAGTGACAATGCTGCTGTCCCTTCCTCGTTGAACTACTTATTTAAGTTTGTCGTCGTGCGCTGAGCTCCTGTTGGCTGGGGTTCTCAAAGTACGTCGGGTCAACCCTGTGGTGGCGTTGTACACATATAGGATGTTTAGATATTCCTGTATCTTTACTGTTCTACGGTTTGAAAACATTGTTATTGGTCGTTTTTCCCTGGAGCATGTTTTTCTCCAAGTTCTCCCATTCTTCTTTCAGCTATCTACTGGGAGATTCTCTCCTTTGTGCTGTGGCCCTTAAGCAACAGTGCTTGCTACTGATGCATCACTGTCTTTGCGTATGCCAAATCTAACTTACTTAATTTGTCGGGCTGGACTTATATGGACGTCTATTTAGCTAGTCATGGGGCCGAGATGGCCCAAGTGGTTAGAGCCCGAATTTACTGACCGGAAGGTCCGTGGTTCGAATCCGACCCCCGCCACTCGACTTCCCCTGTCTAGGCTTGGGCAACCCGGCAGTATCCCAGCCCTCGTGCCTCCTTCGTGTGGCATGGCAGCTAGGCACCGGAAGGGTGCTACAGCTGAACGCTTTCTAGTCACGGACATTGCATTCACACGTATTCTTTATATGGAGTAGGTGTCATAGTTTTTGGGCTTCCTGACATGGTTGAATCATAAGGAACTGATTTCCAGTCAGTTCAGCCCGGAGGACTATAACAGCACTGAAACCCGATCACCGTGAAAAGAGGAAGGCTTCAGATCGGGGTCATTTTAGGCCTTTAAACGGGAATTTAATTTTGTTCCGATCTATTTACCTCAGTTTGCTGTGTTTCCGATCCAGCCTAACGGCAGACTCGAGTCAGTTCTCGATCTGAATTGTTTTTTGTCAGCGTCATTCGATTTTGTCTTCCTGTGGGGTAACTTTGATCCATTATCGGTCCATTTCAGGTCCAAATTACCCTCGTGGATCGTCTACGATGTATGCCTCTTCTCCGTCTATGTCAGTCTATGCGCCTCCTGTTCTTAGGAACGGATCCCATCCGTCACACTATTACCGCTGTCCTTACATGGATGAAGATGTGTATTCTAGCTATCCGCATCGTGGTCCAGTAAGCAGTGCTGCTGGTGGTGGCGACATTTCTGATTTCTCGGGTAGAGGTCGTCAATATGAACGGGTCGCAGACTACTGGTCGGCCATGGACTCCGCGCAGTCCGATTACAGTCGAACGCGTCCGTCACCCCAGGCTGTGTACTCAAGTGGACCCGTTCGTTATCAGAGTCTCTCGGACTTAGCACCACGCTTCAGGCCACGTTTTGGACAACCGGGTGCTGTTCCACGTGTTCGACCACCTCGAGGAGTGGGTGTCATAAGACCACGAAGGATAGGATTAACTTCACCCTCTGGGGACGAAGGTATGTCCGGCGCTTTCCAACCTAATACTGAGGCGTCTGTAACTAAAAGTTTTAGCATTCAGTCTGTTGATGGAAAATAGGATATTTATTCTTCATTTTTGGAATGCTACAACCATTTTTATTTAGATTGTCAGTGTTAATAATCAGATACGGGACCGATAGATATCATCCTTTCAGCGGGGCTGCCACGTGACTTGTAACAATTCACTGAGAACCCCCGAAATACTGATGGCCTGAACGGCAGTCCACTGCGTACGGTCGGTCGTACACACGGGACGAACATGTGTGCCTCTCCCGGTTGCCACACATACGACTGTGGCTGCCGTTGGACTTGTCGAAATTGGGAAGTTCCCAAGTGACTGAAGTAACCCATGTGGCTCCCATCAACCCTCTAAATGAACAGTTATCATTGTGAATGAGTATAACTCTTTACGTAACCTGTCACTCGCTCCTTGGAGTGTTGCTCACTAACGCTAACGTAACCCGTTAGCCAAATTATCTGATGCAGTACACATCCTTGGTGTCAGTGTTTTTACATCGCTAGTCATAAGAAACCTGGCTCGCTCTTGGATAGCTCTTAAAGAGGATAGGTGTCTGCGTGTCTACCCATTAGGCGTTCCGTATGAGCCAATAACATCCAGGCGACAATCTTGCTGACGATTGTGTATGTCATTCCCACCAGCAGTTTACGGGAATCTCGCGGTACTCTGGAATGGGTGTTTTCAAAGCTCTTTAGGATCATTTTTCTAAGCTGACTTGTGGATTTCCGATTGCTGTTTATTCCTTGAACGTTAAGTAAATTATCTTTTCACAATGTGGTTGTGTTGCGTGACGTGTGGATTCGTGTTTCTCCCCCCCCCCGCCTGATAACCGTGCTCTACCCCTCATGTGCGTTATTTTCAGTCCGTCGTGCTCCTGTCCCTACACTGTATTGTGAACTGTGTAAAGTTGGCTGTGCAGGACCCAAAGCGCTCGCCGAGCACCAGAATGGACAACGCCATAAAAAACGTGTAGCTCAAGTAAGTACACTTCCTAGGCCTGGTGTTTTGGTCGTTGGCTCCATTCCTAATAACAGTTTCCCCCTCCCTCGTGATGGGCCACTTTCTTGTGGCTCCTTTATGTTGGTTCTCAGGGGTGCAGTGATATGGGTTTCCTTTGGATTAACTGGCATGTACACAAACTTTGAGGTGCACTGTGCGTATTATGAACTCGATGTTGGGCTTCCTCAGTTAATGAATGGTCTTAAACGGTCCCTAAAGGCACTGGCGATCGAGTGCTTGATACGCGCAAGACCAGGTTTGGCAAACATACAGTGGAGCAAGTTGGATGGTATTTCGGTAGATTGGTGTCGGGATCTGATTAGTTTCTTTCCTGTGCATCATCGTCATCATCATCATCGACAGCATGACATCAGTGTTCAACATCGATGCTTCACTGCCGTATCTTTCCTGTGAACCCGGCCTCTGCCTCTCGACTTCCCCTGTCTGGGTTTGGACAACCTGCAGCATCCCAGCCCTCGTGCTTCCTTCTAGTGGCATGGCAGTTAGGCACAGAAAGGGTGCCTATCCATTGGGATATGGTCTACAGTAGTACAGGCCTTTCTTTATCATATGTAGCGAGACGAAAACATATATTCAGTCATAACCGAAAGCTAATTGTGAAGTCAAGGGTACGGCATGAGCTGAGTGCCATTCCATCCAATAGGGTAACACTTGCGCGTAACTGGTGCTTGCTAGCACCACTTATCGACCTGTCTCACTGTGTTTTTTTCCATAGAGCGAAGCGATTGAGCGCCTGAAACAGGGCAGCGCGGGTGAGACACTCAAAACCACCCCCAATGCGAACATGCATGAACTCCGTTGTGAACTATGTGACGTTTGTTGCACTGGGGCTGAGGCTTATTCTGCCCATGTTTCTGGAAAGCTGCATCAGCGTGCCGTGCGACTGCATCGTGAGTTGGGCAAACCAGTACCGGAAACGGACAATCCATTGGTGTCTAGTGCTGTCGCAAAGACGCTCGAGGCGCAACCGGAAGAAGGTATGTTTTTCCACTGCCTCTTATAATTAAATTATACCAGTAACCGGTGCTTTATCTCACCCGTACTAGGTTCTTGCAACCGTCTCATGAATGTGCTTTACCGTCATCGGTGACCTCCATGTTTTGTACAGAGTGTACCTCCTGCCGCATTTCAGCGAGATGGCCGAAGTGATTAGAGCGCGAATTTACTGACCGGAAGGTCCGTGGTTCGGACCCGACCTCTGCCTCTCGACTTCCCCTATCTAGGCTTGGGCAACCTGACAGTATCCCAGCCCTCGTGCAACCTTCGGGTGGCATGGCAGTTAGGCACCAGAAGGGTGTTACAGCTGAACGATTTCGATTTTTCGCATTTCAGAGCTCTACTGTGTTACGCTCGTGCGTTTCAGTTGTTATAAGTTGTGCTGACGGTTAAGGAGATGCAAGTTCATCCCGGTCAGATAGGGCCATCATTCTTTCAAAGCACTGGTGTCGGGTCGTTTCCACGGCAGTTATCCCCGTGCCTGTCGGTCCAGATTGCTGAAATTGTGGTGGTAAACCATTGGTAGTTACCCGGTCTGCAACTACGGAGGATTATTCAACATCAGATTAGTCAGCCATCGCTGAGTAACCACAGATGAACTCTACGACAGAGTTTGACCCCCTTCCTCAACTGCTTTCTTCCTCCAGAGTGACCGCCTGAAACGACCGTTCACAATTCTCAGCTGTGGTCTCCAGAGTAGGACAACTGTACAACTCACAATTGTGAGACTTGTTAGTAACAACTCTTATTGAGAGCTTCAGTTGGTGATGACTACTTTTCCGTTCCGGACGGTGCTACACCTGATTCGCTTTATCCTTTTTTCTCATCTGATCAACTGAATAGCCCAACCTGCAGTTAAGGAAACTCCCCCTGTCGTTACGACTGCTGAAGAGAAGATCGAGGATAAGTCTGGCATGAAAAAAGTCGAGTTGAGCAAACTGGTCGATGATGAGAAGAAGGCTGTCGGAGCTGAATTTATTCAAGTGGTAAGTCTCATTTACTGGCTGGTTTCACCTCAACCTCACTCAGAGACAAATTCTCCATCAAACCGACACTCAATCACTGTTCGTCATCCTTCCGTTTTGCTGATAGCTATGTCTTAGAAAACTTGTTTGTCTTGCCTTTTCTGCGAGCCGTCAATTATCGAGTACTTCGGTTGTAGATTGTGCGTCTCTCTTGAACTGTGCTGCTGGCCTAATCACAATCGATCGATGGCACACTTCACAGTAGTAGGGGTGCTTGAAAAGGGTTGTCGACCGCACGCGCAAAGGGCTAATTGTCACATTTTACCCAATACGATGTTTTCTGCTTCAAATTTTCATGGTGTGACAGAGAGCGTTAGTCTCCTGTTCTGATCAATCAGAATTCTCACACGGACGCTTTGGTGTGGTTATAAGATCAACTTCGCTAGCACTGACGAATTGGGAAAATCATTCGTCTTGTTTTGTTATAGTGAATGCGCCCTGTTTCAATCAGTTCCTTCAGCTAGCCACTGCGCTCGCATTGCGACATTGTGCAGCCATTGGTTTTCAAGCTGGAGGCGCAGACTTCCTCACTTTTAGAAGAGAATAGAAGCTCGGGCTTCCGTCTTACTGTTGTATCGTGGGTGGCCGTCTATTGGTTACACCTGCACTGAGCCTGCCAGACTACAGAGAACTGGGGACACGGCTGTATTGCCAAGACAAAACATACAGAGCGTCTGCGTAATATATAGGATGACTAAATGGCCAAATATGGTCGTTCACTTGTTCGCTCTTTACAGCCAGTGGTAATGTTCCGGTCGTGAATAATCTCAGGCCCACTACGCTTGTCGTATGTTGCTAAGCCGTGTTTGGTGAGAACCGCCAGCTCACCTACTTTCCGGACGTGTCGTACCGATGGTGACCTTGGGGATGCGTCACTCTCCACACATGTACTTTTTCCATGTCTGGGCGCATCCTGACAGCAAGTATATTTGATGGTAAAGAACAAAATGGGCACCGGAAACATGTCATCCATGTAGTCACTCCATAAATAAGTAATTTCAACAATTTTGAGTTGACTGACAACAAATGAATCATTTTAAATGCACCGAACCGTCAAATGCATGCTTAAGCATTCACCAGCTATCCATTTCCGAAACATTATTCCTTCTGATGTAGGCAACGACCCTTCCACGGAAAATGCAATTGGCAAAGGGTAAATTCGACCTCCTATCGAGAGGCTGAACTCTAGGTCCTAGATGACGGGAAACGTCGTTCCGGACTCCTAAAGAGGACGGCCCTTATTCAGCTATGTCTCCCTGGGAAGATTCGCAGTACACTGTTTCATAGTGATGTGTTTGATTCCGACTCCATCAGTCCTGAGCGTCCGCTTGTCTCTAAAATTCGAATCCGACGTTTTGAACTATTTTGGTGGCATTCATCCTTTTCCTTTCCGGAAGTCTGTCTATAGCACATAATAACGCATCCTCAAGGAGGGCTGTCCCTTCAACGCCGATATTCATATTTGTTTGGTTACAGTACACCCTTCGATCATACGATAAGAATGTAGATCTGTAGGATAGGTCCACCAGTGTTTCTGCATCTAAGGTAAAGTAAGGCTTGAGACGAGCATTGACTTTCCGAATAATGATAAATACCAAAGCTTTAATAGGAAATAAGTAGTGTATACCCAAACCAAAAAAGGTAAAAAAACACCTATAATCTTGTACGCATGTGTCTCAAAAGGTGAAAGACATTAACGCGTACCTCTAGACCGTCGAATTATAGGATGACTAAATGGCCAAATATGGTCGTTCACTTGTTCGCTCTTTACAGCCAGTGGTAATGTTCCGGTCGTGAATAATCTCAGGCCCACTACGCTTGTCGTATGTTGCTAAGCCGTGTTTGGTGAGAACCGCCAGCTCACCTACTTTCCGGACGTGTCGTACCGATGGTGACCTTGGGGATGCGTCACTCTCCACACATGTACTTTTTCCATGTCTGGGTGCGTCCTGACACTCCCCCCTTCCGGAGATAGATCGTACATCCTCAACCTGGGATTTATCTGCAACTGTTTTACTGGAATTCTTCGTCGTCCAGTTCTTTTTCGCAACTGACTGTATGCTCGTTCCACTGAAAAAGAAGACCGTTTGTGCCGAACAACATCGGGGCGATCGAGAATGGGCCGGGCTGAAGTTAGTGCACGGGATTCGAGTTTGACTGGCACTATTCTGCAGAATTGTTTTGATTAGTGACAACCTTCAAAGGTCGAGCAAGGTTGCTATATGCCAGTACACAATGTGCAAAAATCGTACCCTATATTTGTTACACCGTTTTCACCGCTCATATTCATCTGTTTGGCTGTCTTAAGCAAACTGTCAGAAGCCTAGTAGCAGGCTGTCGAGAGCGATTCAATGTTGTTAGGACCTCGTACACCCCTGACATTCATAAGCCCATCATGCGGTTTGAGCAGGTCGCGAACACATGACGGCAAACGCGAAGGTAACACCCACCTACCGCAAAACGCTGGCTCCCTTTGTGAATGTATTTTAGCAGATCACGTCAGGTGGACTATCGTTGGCAATGCCTACGAATTATTCAGGTGATTTTAGGTGAACTGTCGTTGTAAACTGGGGTGCGCCGAAAAGTTCACCTCGTTTGATGTCAGACACTGGACCGAGACTGAGCCGTGCTAAGCGCCCTCTTGTGTTTGGTATAAGACTCTCCGGAACTTGGGTGTGTGTTGTGGCTTCTTGTGATAGGACGGTACGGTTGGTATGGGGCTAACTTCCTCGCAAGTTCTTGCTTCGAGTTGAGATCAGTTCGTCTCGCTGGGGTATGAAATTTTTTTGTGAAATGGTCATAGGAAACTAGCCCGTGGAACGTCCCCCTAGAAGAATGTTGTGGGAAATCCAGTTCATGTTTGGCATCCATGTACGTATGTACGGTGGTTCGGTTCACCGCGGCTTATGACTCCGATTAGTTTTCAGATTTTCGGGTGGCATGGCAGCTAGACATCAGCTGACATGCCGCCCGAAGGAAGCACGTGGGCTGGAACACTGCCAGGTTGTCCACTACTGGTCAAACAGAGAATGAGCAGTCTTTTTCACCAGAGAGCCCTACGGCTCTACAGTAGTTCAGCGACTGGTTGTGGTACATTTGAGCTCCAGAGGTTGGAACAGTGAGCGCACACATTTTCGGGACTATTATTTCGTTTTTCTACTGTCGCATCTGTGTTGTTGACGCAGTACTGAAGTCCAGTGGTGAAGTACCTCATCTTTATGGATAGTCCGTAGCGTTGAAAAAAAAAAAAAAAATCAGTCAGCTGTAACACCCTTTCGGTGCCTAGCTGCCATGCCACGTGAAGGAAGCACGAGGCTGGAATACTGCCAGGTTGCCCAAGCCTAGACAGGGAAGTCGAGAGGCAGAGGTCGGGCTCGAACCACAGACCTTCCGGTCAGTAAGTTCGCGCTCTAACCACTTAAGCCATCTGGGTTGGTGTAATAACGGTATTTTCTGAGATTAGTTCTCGGCCTGAACCTTTAAAGCTAGCTTTCTCTTCAAAACAACTACCAATGTGTGGTAAAGCTCTAAACCAAAAAAAGAACGCGTACAACGCGTCGAATATAAAGTGTATGCGGCGACCACATCCTGGAAATTCTGACGCCTTTTGGATACGCCACCATCAGCCGGCATTCAGCCGATACGAGACCATGATTGGCTGTTGGGTCCACACTTTCGACCAATCAGAGCTCGGCTTGATGCTGGACTGGCGAACAGCACGATCTTCTGGCCAATCGCGTGCGGGTAGGCTTCTTTGCCCTAGCACTGCGAGCACTATCGGCACGGGATCCCGATTGGTTGCTGTTTTATTATTTCCGTGTGTATTCTGTAGGAATTCATAAAAGCGCAGAATAGTTTAATCTTATGCTCTTATATTCCAATATTCCTCCGCTGTAGCCTTTCGGGGATTTCTGGAACTCTTGATGTTTTCATTGATTTTGTTTTTTGTTTTGATCGCTCTTTGTACAGCGTTATTTGGTGGTGTTGCTAAGTAGAGGCTTTGCTTTACTTTATCCATTGTGGTGTTCAGGCGTCCCTTATCAGCTGGTAGTTTCTTCTTTCTTCAACCTGTTCATTACTTCCACTTGTTTGAGAGAGGAGATAATAAGATAATCGTTCAGATGCAACACCCTTTCGGTGCCCAACTGCCATGCCACCAGAATGAAGGATGAGGGCTGGGATACTGCCAGGTTGCCCAAGCCTAGATACAGGGGAAGTCGAGAGGCACGGACCTTCCGGTCAGTACATTCGCACTCTAACCACAGCCATCTCGCCCCGTTGAGGGAGAGTTGTAAGTGTTACATCTGAGAGCTGATACGACAGTTTTGCGGAGTTGTTGGACATTCTCATCGAGGAATTCGATTTCTCTCTCCAGGCTGACCGAGTACTCCAGGCTTGTAGCCTCTTCGAAATTAATTTTGAGCTTTTTGTTAAGGGCCTTTTCCTTCTCTGTCAGTTGTTTTCTGAGTAGATCCATGTCTCTTCGTTACCATTACTTTCATTTTTGCTTTTCCCACTCTGCTTGAAAAAATGGTTTTAAGAATTAGTCTTCCCTTGATCAATGAACCTCATACGTCGTTCGATTGCTATGCATAATTGTTATAGGGGTGACTCACTCAAATCTCAGTATGATTGTGTGTCCGTTATCATGATTCTAGCCAACCGTTCCCGTTCTAGTATGAGCCAAGACTAGTGGAGTGTCTATTGGCGGTTGTTGTTTACACCACCCGAAAGGGCGCATTTTCGAAGGCTTTATTGGAGGAAATGTGGATGTTCCAGTGTGGAGGCTTGTTTGCAGGCGAGTTACCCATCGACCAACTGTTTGGCGGTAGATCGCCCGGAAGTGCTGTGGTGTTTTTTTTACGGACCACCACTGGATCAACAACTAGTTCGAATGCTTCTCTGAGGGTCATTGTGTCAAACCTTTGTGGACGTGTGTAATGCATGAACAGTCGCTCTGTTTTCTTTGACCCGTTTCAAATCCTTTCTTCGTATCCCGCTTTGTAGATCCCTGGACCAGGTGGTAAAGGTATCCATTATAAATGCACTCTGTGTGAATGTCAGTTCACCAATGCAGACGCTAAGGAATTGCATCTGAAGGGTCGTCGACATCGTTTGCAGTACAAGAAGAAAGTTGATCCTGAGTTGTCCGTCCCGCGGAAGCCTAGAAATCCCTTCTACAAGGGCACTGAACGTCAGTCGGAGAAAGGCGTGAGTAAATTATGCTCTCAAATCGCTTGTGTTTGTTGTTATTAACGTCACAGCGTTAGTTGAAAATGAGTTGCAGGTAGTCTCTTTACCTTGCTGCCCATGGGACTCAGGAACTATGGAATCAGCACGCAGTTCACCCCATATTGTGCTATACTCTTACGTATTACAGCGGTTCCACTGCGCTGTCTCATATTTCCTCACTCAAAAGTGCAAAATGAATTAGACGGTTTGTTGGTTGGTAATGCTGGTGATGCGGTTCACGCCGTTAAACATGCCTGCTGAATAATTTGCTAAGTAGCTTTCACACCTTAGACATCTCCGGTGACATTCAACGAAAAAATCACTGTTGGACCTACATATTTCCGTTGGCACTGCCCTTGTTGGCATCTGAGCGCGCTGCATTGCATCCCAGTCACTCGTACATAAAATGTACAAGTGCGTACTCTGTCCCTCCCCCGAACACTCACTTAGCGACCAACTTCCATCGAAAGGTCGACCCTTCCGCCTTCCCCGGTAGATTTCTGCAGACAGTAAAAAGGTGGCTTGGTCCCAAAAGACAGACTGTGGAAACCAGCTGATTTCGGTTTCGAGTATTTGTGTTGCATCCTGTATACGTCTCACATCCCTCCCTGTGTCTTGCAATTTCTCAGAACGCCATACCTTCGATGCCTAGTTCCAGCAATTTGTCGTGGCCTGGATTCATAGCCACTAACGATGCAGCGCCATTTTTCAACATGCAGCAACCGTTCCCACGGATAAATTATCGGGGTTCTGGAACTTTTGGAAGTTCATCGGCACAACATTTCAACATAGCCCTGGAAAATCGATATTTGACAGCGAAACACTCAAGCATTGTACCAACGGAACTAGAGGCGCAGGTAAAAGTGGTCGTTTTCTAACTCCTTTGCGGTTCTATCCCAAGTATCGTTTAAGTACACTCCACTAATTTCCGTTCCCTTTCGTTTAGGCAATGAAAACAGCGGTTGGTCTGTGTGAATTCTCTCTGAAACGTATTAGTGACGCTCTTTTCGAATCGGCCAAACGTGAGGCGGCTGAATCAACACGAGGTGAGAAATCTGACTCTGCGGCGAGACCAGATGTTCAGAAGCCGAATTGTGATGAAATAACCGAAGAGGCCAGCGTGACGTCGCCTGAACTCGCTGCCGAAGAAAACCGCCTCCTTCGTGGGGTTGTTCGTGTTGGACCGTTGGGCAAGAGCCTCCTACTGAGAGGTGATCACGAAGGTGATTTGGTTTTGGTCTGTTCCGAGTGGCCAACTTGTGAAGTTGTCACCTTCATCAAAGCAGAGCTGGCGAAACAACTCACCGTAAGTTTCGGGAAGTTGACAATAGCCTTTATTCTGAGAGGTTTTGTTCTTTACCATACTCGGAGTGGTTTGCATTTCCGAGGGATTTGATCAAGGAGGCGCTGTGTTCTCAGATGACTCAATGGTTAGAGCGCGAATTTACTGAACGGAAGGTCCATGGTTCGAACCCAACCTCTGCCTCTCGGCTTCCCCTGTCTAGGCTTGGGCAACCGGGCAGTAACCCAGTCCTCGTGGTTCCTTTGGGTGGCATGGCAGCTGAGCACCGAATGGGTGTCACAGCTGAACGATTTTCTTGTGTCCTTTCAGTGTGAACCTGTTAGGTGGGTAGTGGAACTTCGTCGAAGCTATTCACACCGCACGCGAAGGAGCAAGCAGTAGTGCATGGCACCACTAGTAGAGTGAGCTTTCAATAGGACCATTAGCGTCTACCGGGTCGGTTTACAGCAACTTTTATTGTGGGAAACACTGTAGTAGGATACGTCTAATGTTGTATGGAGTGAGAAAACCCAAGAACCGGATGATCGTTGGAAGTGGTGGCGCCATTCAAGGACATGTGGCAGACTAATGGGGTAGTTGATACACTATCCTAGTTTTAGTTTCCTGATCGTCTGTTTTTTTTTGCGGGATTAGAACTCCCGTGAAATTTATCCCACAGTTGATTGTGCTTGTCCCGTTTATGCAGCCGCCTAACGTCCTATTTTTTCTCTGACCAGGCAATGGATGATCAATATGAGTATGTTGTGAGTGATATCCCAGCCCAAGGTCAACTGACTGTTCGCACCACACGAAAGGTACCGGAGTCGGAGTTGAAAGCAGACGAGTCGATTGCGGATGAGTGGCCAGTCATCACTATTCGCATTCAGCTCACCTCAAGAGCAGCCTGTGATGATGAAATCATGAATAAAGGTAATGTGCTTTGTTTTTTTATCCATGACAGATGGGCGATGAACAACTGTCAGTTCCAGCTTGTCGTTTTTATTGGTGTTTGGTCAAGTTCGAGACAGCGGAGTGGCTAACAGGCGATTTGGCATCTTGGTTCATATCCCATTCTTGATTCACCGACCAAGCCTGCGCAAGCACTT